AGACAAACATTCTGCAACGCGTGGGAAAATAAACTGAGGTCGTGTTTATATATACAGACCTGTAGAGTACCTCATGAGAGGCATGCCCATGGTGCGTCATGGTGCGTCATGCTGTTCATGGTGCTCATGGTGTTCGAGAAGCCGAGCAGGGATCGGGTTTCAACCGGAAACCAGGAGACAACTCAGCTGGCCGACCGGAGACTTCTTCATGCTGCTCATGCTGTTCATGTCACGGTGTTGACGCTGTTCAGGGTGTTCACGGTGCTCATGCTGTTCATCGTGTCGATGCATGCTGTTTATGGTGTCATGCTCATGGTATTCGTGCTGTTCCTGGATTTCCTTCATGCAATCTCCAGCCTCTCGTCCTAGGCTTGCGCTGGCACTCGAGGGCCTGCGGCCTCACTTCGAGTGAGGTCGACATCAGCGCAGCTCGAGGTCGACCGTACCAAGGCCGTCGCCGGTCTCGGCCTTTAAGGGCTTAACGTGCGACGTCAAGCAGGGAGAGTTCGAGGAGATGGGGAGGCATGGATGACCCTCCTTTTGGGGTTCTTTTTTTGGAGGTCGGTCGAAGTCATGTTGAGCTTTTCAGCAACAAAGTATACACAGGTTTTTGAATAGGAGACGTGGAGAAGGATTGGAAAGGGGTTTCGACCAGGTTCCTAGCAAACAATCATCCCCAGTGTGTTAACAAACAACCATCCTCACTCGTTTGCTTGGTGTGACTGTGCAGGTGTCTGGTGTGATGCGGCTTCACAGCCTGCGAAGACGCACCCCATCGTGACTGTCACGGGCGACAAAAGAGGAAAGCAGAGCTGACGGTTTCTGTGCAGAGCTGACGACCCGCGTTGTTCGCACCGAAATGCAAATGGCTGTGGGTCAAAACGCGGACGTTAACCTGGTATTTGGGGAAGAACCCTATCTAAAGCAGTCTGGGAGATTAGATAGACCACTTGACCCTGGCCCGCAAAAAAGCGGGTCACTACCATCTCAATTTTTGTGACTTGGGCATTAGTTGGATTGATTATGATTGACTAGCAATTTCCTTTATGTTGGCCACAGGACTGTCCCTCCCGATCCGTCTTCCGGGACTAGGCCGCACCAGAAGCATTTCCGATGGACTCAGACCAAATCCAGTTGCTTGCACCCCGCTGTGGGCGGTGCTTGGGGTGACAAGCGGAAACCTTCCGTTTTTTTTCGTGCAAATACCTCAAACTTGAAGTCGCCAATCGCTCGTTCCAGCTTTTGCTAAATCCAATTTTTGTGGCCTTCTAGCCCTTGGGTTTGGAGTTGAGCACGTCTCAGGACCCGCATGCCGCCCTAACCTTCCCAATCCCGTGGAAACTATGCAAGCGCTTCAGACCTACATGGATGATCTCGATTGCGATCCCCCTTTTCACTCCAACCGACCATTTCACCTGCCGCTCCAAGTGTCAATTTTTGATCATGAAGCCCTTGAAGAAATTCCGTTCAAACAGAGATGCGATTTTAGTGATAAAATTCGTCGCTTTTGGAGAGCTAACCCGAATTTTCTGGGGTGCTCATTCCTACAGGGCCCTTCTAGATATGCCGTCTGTGTAAATTAGTTGCTGCTTTTGCTTCGCGAGATACCGCGTGGTTAATTCACCGCCAGTTTCTTTCCCTTTTGTTAGTCAACAACACGACTACCCCACTCGTACCGCACCCGGTTCAAAGGGCGTCCGGGACGCGAACCTGCGTTGAGACTCCTTCACGTGCTGCGGAGTCTCCGATGCCCTGTTCACCAGCGTAGGTTGACCTCTATTCGTCGTCCATTCGGTTCACTTTCTCTGGTAAGCCCTTCCGAGGGTCTTCCGGTTTGGACTGCTCCCGGGACACCGTTGCGGGTGCAGGGACTGCTTCGGAAAGGGCCCGGGACACGCCGCGCCGGATCTGCTGTGCTGTCCGGAGCTTCGAATGGAGGTGGTGACGAGTTCAGTCGTTGAGGAGCCCTTGCTGTCCCAGTAAGATGATGGAGGTTCCCGTCTACGTCTCAGCCGCACTCCCGAGAACAGCCGTGCTCCGCGTCCAGCGCGGCCAGGCAGTGACGCGGGCAGCCTGGCTCCGGACCTTCGGAAAAAGGGAGCGCGCGAAGCTGGGGAGAAAAGACTCCCATCAATGGATTTGATTTGATGATTGTCTCTTTTTGTTCGTAGTTGAGTGGTCTCATATGAGGTTTCTTCCTATTTCGGAAGGTGGTCCAAATGGCGTGATGACCTGATCCATGGTACTGATCCATGGTCTTGTTTTGGGCTTCTTAAGATCTGCTGCACCTCTTTTGAGAGTTTCTCCGAGGTTGTTTGGCCGGATTCTGCTCCAGCTGGATCGGTTGGAAGATGAACAGTGCGCAGCTTCCACCGGACGGGGGCCAGCTTTCCGTGTGTGGTTTTGGCCCGATCAGGTGATCGAGTGTCGGGTTTCTTGAAAACTACCCTCCTGGAATGGATCAACTCTAAGATAGTCACTCGTCCTGCGCAGTGAGGCATGACGGACTCATCCTCAGAGTCGCTGCTTCAGCGACCAAACACCGTGGGGACGTTGTTTTTCCGGGGACGGAGACCTCGTAGGGCAGAGCCGCCATCAGTCCCTTGCCACCCACGGAAAAAAGGGTCGTCGGCGCACTTGAGCCGTTTTGGGACAGAATTCTACATTCTACTATATAGACTCCAAGAAGATCCAAGAAGTATTGGGTCAAGATCCTTCTTCCTTTTGTGACACCCTCAATGGATCAGACTTTTGTTGGAGGAGTCCAAGATCCCGACGGACTCGGGTGTTCCGCCCGAGCTGCCGAGAGCTCAGTGGCCGATGTGGACAGTTTGTGCTTGGCATCGGTTTTAGCAACACCCACTGGTGGTGAGGCTTTAAACACTTGCGGGAGCCCGTGAGTCCCTTCAGGTGTTGAGGAACTGCACACCTTCTCCCTGGATTCGGTGAACCAAAGGCGCCCCAACCGTCGCCCCTCTGGTCACCGAGCCCCTTTGGTCCATGGAACCGATCCCAGAAACGCACGCCGAAACGCCGCCGATCCGGACGAGTCGAGGTTGACTCCACCGCCAAGCATCGATACCACGGCAAGGGCATCCTTGAAAGCCAAGGCGCCCCCATCCAGAGGGTCGGTGGCAGGGTCTACCGGACCAGAGTCTTCAATAAACCCTGGCAGGGTGGCAGGGGGTGGTAGGGCAATGAAGGACGGATATGTGGTGATATGTGCTGCTTCTGGTTATTTATTCTTTATTTTGTTGAACGTTTTGGGTGAGATTGATTAACCAAGTGGAATCTATTACACAAAATGATTGTTTGCTTGTTAGCATATTTTCCTGCTTTAATTTATGTTCGTGGGAATCTACTGCTTGGCTTTGGGACCCCTACCTCGTACTTTAAAAGGGTAGGTCGAGCTTGGATGGAAGAGAAACTAGCTTTCCCTAGACCAGCCGCAATTCTGAACAATCACTTTTTCTTCTGCAGCTTTGAAGTCTTTCCAACCCAGACGCTCCAGACAGTTCACAGGTCTTTTCCTCAAGACCGGAATTGGTGAGAAGGTCCAAACACCCCTGACTCACCCGAGGAGAAGGTCCCCGTTGTACATGGAGGCTCCAGACTCACGGCTCCGTCGCGGCTCCGTCGCGGAGCCGGAGCGGAGCCGGAGCCGGTCGCCAGTCACTGGGCCAGGCACCTCCCCAGCCTAAGGCCACGGTGCCCAGCAGAGGCGGGAGATTGGGGATGGAGATGTGGAGAGGGAGAAGCAGGAGGAGTATTTCATTGGGAGCAGAACTAGTTCAAAGGTGTGAACACTTGTCGTGTGTTGCGTTTATTGGGCCGCTTCGAGACGGTAATTGGGCCAGGGGGTGTTCACCCCAAAGATTTCAGACCAGCCCAGCTTGGCTTTTTGTTTGACCAACAAAAGGCCAAGCTTGGTCACCCAAGGCCAAGCTTAGTCACCTCATGTTTGGGGGTTGAAGCCCAGAGGTTGATGCGTCGAACCAGGTGCAACTCCACTGTTGGCCAGGCTCATCCAGTGTGCGAGACGGAGAGGTGTGGGAAGCGAGCGATTGACGGCCGTTTACGGGAGGACGACTCGTTTACCTTGTCATGAGATCGACTGCGCCTTCGCAAAGCGTGGTAGGGTTGACATGCCGAAAAACTGAGGAATCTGTTCTCATTCTCAGGGGTCTAGTTGGGTGTAGTTGGGTGCCATGAGCCACACCCAGTGGGATGCTTTGGCTATCTTGAGAAGTGATGGTCACTCCACGGGCGTGAACTCGTGTTGCTCACAGTTCGACCAGGATGTATTTGCACATGTTGGTTTCTGTTGGTCATGCTGGCCGCACATGCGGTGTTCAAGTTGCAAGTTGAATGACACCTCGGGTCAAAAGCAATGGTTAAAGCATGCCCATGACCCAACAGGAAACATTGGGAGTTTCTTCGCTGTGAGAAGGGCAACTCCAGGGTGGTTCTTGGCATTTTGAACTGAGGGCATTCCTTTCCCGCAAGATACAAGGAATTGACGCATCAAGCATTGGCCATGCTTTACATTGAGAAAGGTGTCTTCTTCGGCCAATGTATGGAAGTCCTCCTTTCAGGTCCATGTTGCTTAATCAGGGGAAGAACTTAGAGCCTGAGATCAATAGAAGTATATATATATGTGGCTTTGTCAGACCCAGCTAATACAAACGCCCATCCTGGTTAGTTTCTTTCAACTTACAGATTTCTGTGTGCGTCCCATTTGGTGTGAGCCCTTGCCAGCTCCTGTATATAGGTTGGCAGTGCGCTCCACAACCAAAAATCATATGGTCTCTAAACGGAAGTTTCTGCCATATGGCACACTTATAGAAACGCGTACTGATGTGAATGCGGTGCCACACGCCAGCCTAAGTGAAAAACCAAAGGAAACAGGGTGGGTATGTGTAAAGCAAGCGTCCATAAAACTGCAAAAGCCACCAAAGCTCTCAAAAGATCCAAGGTGAAGCGTCGATGCACTAGCCCTTTACAGCACTAGAAGATTACTGCAAAACACCGAAGTGGAACAGCTTGTCCATTAAGTAGGTTTCGCTCCAAGCAAGTACGTCAATCCGGCGTCCCGGATTGATTTCACCAGCACACATCCAGTGTCTTCGTTGGTGCAAGACTGGATGGGCTGCTTGCACCCCCTGCTAAAAAACTAAAAGCAAAATCAGCACAATCCGATTGGATCCCTGTGACTTCAAGGGGCACACTCTGACACTTGTATTCAGTTAAGTCAAGTATCACGATGGGAA